GTGAGACAAGAAAAGGGTGAAAGCCGTTTGGATTTAACGAAGCGTAACACTGACATAATCAAAACAATAATACCTCCTTTATTAAGTTTTAGTCCCAACGCAGTTTTCGTTGTTGCCAGTAATCCAGGTTAATACGAATTTAATTGATCGTAAATTCCAATTTACAAAAATTTCATTGTGAACATAACAAATATAAGTACTTGTTTCTTATATTGCAGTCGATATTCTTTCATGGGTAACATGGAAAGCGAGCGGTTTGCCATTTCATCGTATTATCGGTAGCGGAACTTACATAGATACTTGCAGATTTCGATACTTAATTTCCGATCGTTTAGGTATCGTTCCAAGTTCCGTTAATGCTTATATTATAGGCGAGCATGGAGATTCTCAAGGTCAGTTGCATTGTTTATGTATTTATAAATTGTTTTTTTCAGTTTTCATTAATATTTTCCTACATTTCTATAAAGAAAAAAATATATGGATATATTATACGCATATGTATGTACAGGTAATTGTAACAGTGAACTAACAATAAATAAAAAAATTGATTTTATAATTTAATTTTATATTTTACAATTGTTTATATTATAAAATAAATTATGATGATTCATTTTTTCAATTTCTTTTTACTCACATCAGTCTATTGTCAAAATTATTGATCTATACACGAGGCGTCATGTAAATTGGTAGTACGCGTGCGATATCGTAAATTATTCATTCATATGACTTTTTTTTTATGAGCCTTTTCTTAAGCAAATTTACAATAAATATTATACTGTAAACATATACAAATTATTTACTTGAACTAATGATAATTAAAATTGTTAACTTTATATCAATTTCTCTTAACAATTTTCAATAATTGCTAATAGTTTCTCATATACTTACTATCAATTATACTATTTCTTATAGTTCCACTTTGGTCGGGAGTAAATGTCGCAGGTGTGCAATTTCGTGATATCATTCCGAATATTGGTTTGGAAACTGACGAAGAGAAATGGCACGAACTTTCCAAAGAAGTTATTGGCTTGTAAGTAAAACTTTTTAAAAATCAAAATTACATTAATAAAAAGTTATAAAATTCGTATGCAAAATAAAAATAATTTATACGAGTACGTAACAATTTATTTTCTTGTATTTTAGAGGTGCGGCGATCAGATGTTTGAAAGGATATTCGAACATTGGTATAGGACTTTGTGTAGCTGATATTGTAGATGCAATATTGGGGAATGCACAACGCGTCATAACAGTATCGACTATGATTCAAGTACTATCATACAAATACTCGTATTATTATTTCAATGTATTCCCTCATTCAACAAATTTTTTTTACTTTTATTTAACACTTTGACGTCCGGGCGTTTCGAAAAGATTTTTTCACTTGGCGCCGGCAGCGCTACTTCGGATTATTTCGCGTACGTCCGGCCGTATTCTAACTGCATGTCGCCGGGCGTAGAACTACGCTTTATGCACCACACCAAAGTGTTGTATCCGGCGATATTGCAACTTTTGTGCATGACACCAATGTGGTGTCGTCGGACGTCATAGTATTATATAATATATATTATAATATAATATATATATATATAATAAGTATTATATGAAAGACAAAAATAGTGTACTGTTGATTCCAAAAATCTGTTTTTTATTTTATTTTATAACAATTATTATACAAAATGAGATTTACAGTGAATAATTACTAAGATATTTATAAAACAAGTTTTATTTCAAATGATTTTTTAAAGATGAATTTGGCTTGAAAAAGGGTGAATTTGAAGTGCAAAACTTATATATATATTTTGGCTTTCGTTTTTTTTTCTTAGGGACATTTCGACATATGTCACGAAATGTATTTGTCACTACCCTGCGTAATTGGAGAACATGGCGTCACAAAGATAGTGAGACAACGTATGACTGAATTCGAGAAGAAGTTATTTCAAAACTCTGCAAATATCGTGTATAATGTTCAAAAGGATATCAAGTTATAGTCGACTTCGAATCGGTCGAACGAGAACGTCATTCATTTTCGTCCTACGTTTAACTTGACATTTAAAAAAAAGTATTGTTGGTTTTAATAAATCACATGTCGTCTTTTGATTCTTTTAGCGCGTGACTTATCTCTATAATAATACGAAACTCTAAAGAATTTATACTTTCAGATTTCCGAGAAACGTTCGGTTCTTATTCTGCATATCATTCACTTTTAATATTTTTTTAAAGTATTATTAGCTTGATCGATAAGTAATGTTCGAATGGTTATATTAAAAAATACTAGTTTTTATTTATTTAGATATAAAATACCAAAAAGTGTTTAAATAGACAAAATATTTTATGATTTCTATTTATTTATATATAGAAACTATTACAATAAATTTACAATAAATATTATAATTTACATTTCCCGTTATTATCCTAGCTCGTGAACCATCAATGGACGTATTATTTAATTAGATATAAGATACTAACACTTTTTTCTGTGCACAGTATAATAGTATTTATTATTTATTTCGACAAAATATTTAATATTCGCAACAGAAAACATTACTTTTATATTCATTTAAATATAAACTACTAGAAATTTTAAAATTACTTATTCAAGCAAATTAATATTAGTTATGAATTTAATAAAAATATATGAATTATTTCTTGATCTCGTAATTCATAGAACTTGCAGCATGATCTCGTCTAAACTCAAGGAACACGGTAAAAGTAAGATAGCGACGGTTTTTTCCAGAAAAAGAACTTATGTTAGAAATAAATGACATATACCGTAATTTTTTAATTTTTATATGATCGTTCTTAGAAGCATAATAAAAACTTCAATCCTAATCGAAATCTTTTTAAATTATAAATGAAAGATCTGATGTCAACGAGATTAAATAGTATTTTAAGACCTTCTATTTTACATATTTCTTTTAAATCTTTTTTAACTTATTTGCATCATTAGCTAACTTTTTCTTGTCACTATCATACTTATGAAGCAAAGTAAAGGTCACAAAGGCCTAATGTTTCATTCTTTCTTATAATACGAATGAGTTAAACACATTGTTATATTTAAAATCATTATCAGTATTAAAATAAAAGATGGACGGTTGTAATTCTCTATCGAACGAAAATAACGTCTACGTTAAATACGTCCAAGAATTACCACGTAGAAGTTCTTTCTTCTACTTGGAAGTTTATTAAGTAAAAAGAGAATGCAGGAGAAGGTGAAAGGTGACCGTTGGATGGTATAGGAAGGTCGTACCACGACACTAAGGACCATGTGCCGCAGGCTAGGCCACTGCAAGGTGAGAGAAAGCTTTGCTCATTAGTCGTCAGATGTCGCTCGGAAATATTCCACTCCACTCCAACACCATGTATACATGTATACTTGGCTAGAAGGTAAAAACAGGGCCGTACTCATCAATCGGTTCTATATGATATACTTACAATGAATTAAAATAAATTCAAATATTTCGAAATAATTCAATAACAGTTCTGAGTGTCATCAATTCTTTTTTCACATATGTTTTTTTTTTAACAATTTTTAAAATTTTCTTAATAAAATTCAAGTAAGTGTAGCGTACAATAATAACTTCGAGAGACATCGTTTAAGTATATCTCTGCGAATGATACGAATTCGAGTGTTCTACTTCTGCTCAATAAAGATCCATTTAGGATACCAGACATGCCTTTGCAATCCAAAAAAGAATTTAACTCGTAAATCATATGTGAAAAGTACTTTCGCGTCAGAGTATATCAATTCTCATCTGCCTACATGTCATATATTTTTATTGTACGATTATTTAATTATATATATATTAGGTATCCCAAAAGTTGCTTTGTCCGAAAAAAAAGACATTATTATCGACTTTTATTAATATTAGGTTAAGTAATAAGTTTATGCGGTTTTCTTTCTAAGTAAATAAACGGCTATACCGCAAAGATTTGTTGGTTAACCTCATGGAATTACAATATTTTGTTGTTTTATTTCAAGATATGAATCTTCCAATTCCAGAATTGTTAAAAGGAAATTTTACTTTTCAGCTCACTCAGTAGAGCGACTTTTAGGACACCCTTTATATATTACATATGTATGTAATAACATGTATGTATATAGATATACACGATAAACAAAAATATATGCTTTTACTTGCATGAGGCCAATATTTTCGCAAACTCCCCCCCCCCCCCAAGATACTCTCGAATAATATTTTTCTTACGAAAGATAAGCCAATTCGACGGCGACAAATAATTCAAGCGACATGAACATTCCAGATTATTTTATTTTTATTTTCGACAGTTAATATTTAGGAAATCTTTACGACTCTCGATTAAGATCATCTAGAGCCTTTGTTAATCCATAATAATAATAATAATATCAGGAAATAATGGGAATTTTTCATTGTAAATAAAATTTGAAACGATTCAATGTTCCACTTTAAAAGTTAACATTTTTGTAAACGAGCATATATGCAGTATGCATTTACGCATGATAAGCATGACGTAATGTAAAATACTTATTTATTGTTGCGAGAGACTTTATCGAAAGGACAAGCGCGAATCTAGAAATACTTTTCCATCTTCACATCTTTCAATCGATTGAATCTCTCTTTGGGGCCAACGACTTTCTGGGCTTTCTCTCTCGACGATCGGAAAACGCGTTGTCATCGTTTCAAATAAACAATAATCTTAGATTTTTCAAATAATTATCTTCGTTTCCCTATGATTCGATAAACAAACAGTAATTTGGAAAAGTACTTTCTTTAAAGAAGATAATTGTAGAAAAAATTACTAAGACAATTGAATGATGGAATAAAAATTATCATTCGATTATTAATTTGATGGATAAGAAAAGAAAAATAAAGAAAAACAAAAAACTGTGATTATATACAAATGGAAATGAAAGACCAGGGTATTAAAGTGAACTATATCCGTTACTGTTCGGGCCAGGTAGAGGTGGCAGAATCGGGCCCCGTTCTCCGGATGACTTCTGTCGTCCGTCAGTGGGGCTCAGTCAGTAGACAGTCGGTCCGCCCTGTCAGCTGGTCTCTTCCAATCGTGCCTCAACTCAACTGCCGGATGGGTAATCCGAGCGCGGCAGAGAGACAATTGGATAAACATTTGCTCAATAGTTTATTTTATCTTTGTTTCTAATAAACGAGCAATTTGTTCTACTAGGTATAGATAATAATAATAAGAAGAAAAAAATAGAGAAAAAAGAAATAAAAAAAAAAAGAAATAATTCGAAATAAAGGGCAAAGGTTGTAAACGGGGCCCGCGCGGGCCGCATGTGCGCGAGTGTGCAGTTTTTCCACCGGAAACATCAGCGACACGGTGCGAGGGATCGGTCTACGCGAGGAAGACGAAAACGTAGGAGAGGAAAGGAAGCGGTGGGCGGAGGAGGAGGAGGAGAAGGAGAAGGAAGTGAAGGAAATAAGGAAAGTTGCGTTTTAAAAATAAGAGTATTAAATAAATAAAGAAAGTAGAAGTTTTATATCAAAAAAAAGAAAAGAAGAAAGGAAAGAGGAAAGGAAGAAAAGAAGGAAGGAAGAGAAGAGTTCGACCGGTCAGGCAGGAAATGACTATATCGTACGCGAGCGAAGTGCCAAACGGCTCCAGCTTTGGCTGCTTCTGGAGGATCCTGGTCAAGTAAGTCACTTTCCTCTATTTTCTTTTTTAATTCAACATTTTTTTTTTATTTCCGCTTTCTATAATCTTTCATCGTCGGTGAACGGTGTCACTGCTCGTTAATTATATGATATAAAAAGAATCGTTTAAGTTCGGCGCCTTAGCAACAGTTGGAAGAATCTTTAATTCTTCTTTTATTTTCTTTAGAAAGAAAAATAATAGAACGCTCCTAAATAAGCCTAATTACCTAACTTCGAAGTGTCTTTTTTCTTTTTTTTTTCTTTTTTTTTTGCGAGTGTTTCGCGACTCTTCCATATCGGCGAGGCGCAGCAATCGGAGTCCTTGATCTAGAAATGTAATGCTAGTTTCCGACAAACATTGATACCGCCAGTGTATAGAGAACACTAGTGGAACTCTTTTATATGTGACCGTCTGTCCGTCGTTCTTCGAATTACCTTGTCAAAGTTTGAATTGTATTTTGCAATCAGGTCAAAGTCCAAAATTTCTTCTGAACGATTAGATAATTGTTAGAATAGAAAATATTAAGAATCATAAGTTTTCCTTCGTGGAAAACGCTCTAATCGAGTTTATGCTTTTGTCAAGTTCGATTTAAAAAAAGAAATAGATTACAAGAATCATAGGATTTACATATATGCAGCGTGCAGATCAGTTTTGTAAAATTGATGAGTACACAACAGTTTAAAATAATTTGTTTTTCTTATTATGTTATCGCAGCCTAATTGTTTTTTAATATACAATTTCTAAGAAACTAGGGTATATACTGGAGTTACTATTTATTAGTATTGAAAATATCCGTAAAAATATTCTTCTAGATAAATTTCTTGATATCTCTTATAAATTTAATACTTTTATTGTTTTGATAATAAAACAGTAATTATTATTTCATGATCAAATATTTGGATTGCTGTTTATAGATTGAAAAACGATACAATAGCATCACAAGAAATTTCCAATTTTTGTAAATGACTTCATATGCTATAAACATTGAAATAGTTCAATAAGAATGTATATTTTAATAGGACAACATTTGAAATCGTTACAACATTAGGTTTTCTCTACATACGATAGTAAGAAAGCAAGCGAGCTTTGTAACCGGATTATCGAGAAGTTTGGTGTGGAACTGGTCCAGGAAATTGGAGCACCAACTTCCAGACGGTATGCATAGTTGTTGCTGTGCTATGTAAGACGAAGACATTGCGATATTGCGACCTGTAGATCATTGTGCAACATTTGACTTTCGATTCGATCTACCATTCTGTTCAATCGTTTGAGTATACTTTAATACAAAAAAAGAAGAAAAATAAAAGAAAATGAATCCTGGAATAATGTTCTAAAGAATAAATTCTCAATCGATCCAATGGAGTTTTGATTTCAAACACGAAATTTTAAATTCTTAGTAATTTGAATTTTGAGTATTCGAAAATAAAGTTGTAAAGCAGGAAATGAGATACATGTTAAAACTTGCTAACCCAAAAATGATGCTCGGTCAACGGATGTTTATAATACGATCAATGTTTCGAGGAAAAAAAGGTCGCTCATAAATCGATTTTAACCATAACTGAATACACGCTTAATTCGTAGTATTGTGGTTCCACTGAATTACGTCTCGAGTATTTCCCATTCGTAGTTGAAAAATTGTTTCAACAATAATTGTGATATTACCTGAACGACCATGTTATAATGTTTGTATATAATTATGATGTTATTTTGTATAGAAAATATATTGAAAATATATGAGCATGAAATTAAATAAACAATTATTATTTGTTTTATTCTTAAAATTACAATATTATGTTTCTCATTTCAAAACATGTATTTTCAGTGTGTGTTGTTGTTAAATATATATAGATCCAAAAATTGTATGAATGATCAGATTTTTATTTGGAATTGAAATTTTGCATTCAAATTTGGTATATATAATTACATTCAATTATTATAAATTTTTATAATAATTGAGATATTGTTACCTAAATGTAAATGTTAATAGAAATAATTAAATTAAAAAATAATTTATTATCGAAGGATAAGTTATTTATTATTGTTTAAAAATGGTTTCCTTTTAATCATCTAGACCAGCAAAAAATTGATTATTTTAATTTAATCAGAATACCTGTCAATAAAAATTTGGTTGCATTATTTATCATATCTTATTAAATTTTACGATATTTTTAAAAGTGACGATAAATATTCATAAGTAAATTTAAAGTATATTCTAATGAGTGAAATATTTTAAATATTCTTCGAATACTCGTACAATATAATTCTACTGCAAAAGTAACTGTCTCTTTCTTATATAATCGTTTTCAAGAATCGGAGACATTGATGCTTGTCTCAAGAACATCCATCGAACATATAGAACTTTCAGAAATTATGCGAATAAGAATAAAATATTATACAATAGTTTCTTAGAAGACTCTTCTAAGGATTAGTATAATGACGTCGAGATTAGGTTTGTAACATTGAAAGAAACGCTCCAAGAGATCGATTTGTTCGGTATTGAAATATTCTGAGAAACGATATCGATTGTCTGTTCGAAAACACTTGATTAAACAGAATTCGAGAATGTTGACAAATGTTTTTATGAGTGATTACGTTATACGTATTTCTCCTAAAATATAATACAATCTTGTGAATTATTATTAAATAAAGAAATAAACAAAAAATAAACAAAAATAAAATTTATATTTTATTGTAACAAATATTATTGTTATAAAGGAACGGTCGCTCGACCGGTTCCGATAGGTATAAGTATACAGAGAATGACGAAAGGTTTGGCGTTAGAAAGATACAAAATTATCTACAGGATATTTTAAAAGTAGTTTTACCGAGTAAAGAAAATTTTATTCATTTAATTTAATTTTATTAAATAATTTTATTCTACAATTTTTCTTTAAGAGACCATATTTGATCTAACTTTCGTATATATAGATATAACTTTTGTATAAAAGAGGTAGAATTTAAAAATTAATTATAAATATTTATATTTTAAAAATATAAATTTTAATTATTAATAAAATTTTAGAAAAAAAAGAGAGTCTCAAAAGTTGTTGCATCAAAATAAAAATTTTTTTATGAACATTTGATAATTGCAATGTCTTTTTTGTGGACTCATATTTTAACAATATATATATTTATTGATAAAAATCTTAATATCTTGAAACGAAAGACAATATATGTGATTCCATTAATAAATTAGTGTTGATTTTTCGTTTTTTTCTCTCTCTCTTTTGTAACTGTGTATTTTAAAAAATTATAAATTATATAAATTTAATAAAATGAATTTTTTTTTAGACACTCTATGTATAAAAAGAAAGAGAGAAAGACAAGGAAAGAGAGAACGATGGTAACTCTTGTTTAACATTACCGATTTGGTCTGACATCATCATCGAACATCATCAGACAAAAATAATAATGTCTTTAGGAGATTTTTGTTTAGAAACAAATAAGAAAAATTTGTTGTTTCTTAGTCTTGAAGAACATATGTCGCTTTTTAATAATAAATTTGCCGAGTTTATGTAAATCTATTTATACCGTATCCAGTCAAACGATTTTTAATATAAGATTATATTTTTTATAATGGGAATTATTGTAAATTTTTTACGAGGTTTAGTAACAAAAATAAGACAATTAAATAAACATATTATAATATAATTTTTTAATAATAAAATAATATTATATTTTAATAAGAATAAAATAATATTTATAATTGTAATTATCATTGGGTCAAATATAAAAATTTGTAAGCAACCATTTGAGCGATGGTAATACTTTTAATATTTAAATACCATTTATTAGCCTATTAGGCTCTATTAGCCTGGATAAACAATTTTAAATGAATCCACAAAATTTGTATTTTATATTCCACTTTGAAGAAATTATACAAATTTTGATATAAAACACAAGCCTAACATCGCATGCTAATGAAATAGCGTATTTTCTGATATTTATGACATAATTCATAAAGTATTTTCCTTATGTCACTTGAAACCAGTTTTCTAATACTTGTCAATTGAAAGTTAATATTGGATACACAAGATAACTTTAATAAATCAATAAAAGTAAATAAAAGAAGGGACCTATAAAGTAATGATAGATGATTATTAAAAATATTTATATTCATCGGTATGCCAACTAAATCGTGAAAAACGCATCTTACTCTTGCTCCACCGATTGCAACCGATTCAAACGTCCTTGTCGGAGCTCGTTTGTTGACATTTTCACGACCTTTAGACGTGGACCGTCGACAACTGTGGTGGCAGTGGCAGCATGAGATCTTCTCCGATCACAGTTTCTCTTTAGCGAGCAAGTCGTCTAAAGAACGAACGGATCCATCGAAATAGCCTTAACAGCTTTCACGTAAGAGATCTCGCTTTCTTATGTACGTTATACCACAACTAATGTATGTACGCGTTTGCTGGCAAAACGAGAGCTTCTAACCACTGTTGATATACTTGCTCTATAAATATACCGTAATGTCTAGAAATAGAAAATATCTCTAATATCTCTCTTACCACAAATTCCCACAAGATGTACATCTTCATCGACTTGTAATATAGGTTTTACACTATCAATTTACCCTTTTGCTATTTACATTATCAAATTAACCCTTTTGTTAAGGATTTAAATCCTTTCTTACCAAATATCAAATCAGAATAAACAAAAAATTATTTCATAAATGTATATATAGGTATATATAATATAATATTTTGCCGATATATTTCTATTTCGAAAAGAAAAAAAGCGAAATAATTTGAGACTTACTTTACCGACTAATTATTTTAATTAGCTTTAATAATTCTAGTACTAACATATGTTGTGTGTCTAAATACACACCTGTTACTGTGGTATTCTAACGAACTCTAAAGAAAATTCTACGACAATTTACTAGAAATTTCTAATAAATTAATTACTTTCCTATCTCTGGCACCAGATATATTTTAGCGTCTCATAGATTGAAACATATTAATTTAACGAACGACGTATTTTGTTTACTCTTCGTA